AATTTTGTAAAGTGAGAGGTTAAAGTTGGTTTTAACCCCAAAAATTAAATGTTACTAGTATTAGCTTTTTATTTTTAGGGGTGCAAACTTTAAAAATATTATATTTTATATATTTTTTAATTTGTAAATTATTAGCATATTTTTTTAATTAATTTTTAAATTTAAAAGTAAAATAAATAAATATTATTTTTAAAAATATATAAAATATTAATTAAAATAAATATTAAATATATTAAATATATTTTATATATTTTTAAAATATTAAAAGACAAAAACTTATAATTACAACTACAAGACAATATTATCCAACTAAACTAATGTGAACACTACGATTTTTTTCAATAATGAGAGCAAATTGGGTTGGAAAATGACAAAGAAAAAAAGAAAAAAAAAAAGCTTTCACCTTTACTTGTGGGCAATACAGCCGTGTTTTCTCATTTGTGTGGCCCAGTCAACTCAATCATATACATTTTGTTATTTTGTTTTGATTTACATTTAATTCTCTTAAGTCAACCTAAAGGTCGTGAGAAGTTAGTTGGGTTGGGTCCCTCAAGAATTCTGGACTTTGTTCATATTAATTTTCATCCAAGTCGCGGAATATATTTTATTGCAACTCCAGTTGAAGTATTTTCATAAAAGAAAAAAAAAACTTATTTTATTATAAAATAATAAGAAACGTAACAAGATAACGAACAAAATAAGAGTTTCTTATTTTATCATATACTTTTTTATATACAAATCATATAATTTTATAGGCCTATATATAGGTTAAGGGACATGTAGAGGGTTATATTAGCTATTAAATATGACCAAATGAGAGAATAAATAACACCTTAGTGGAACCATGAATGACACCTTGATGGATCTTTAAATGGCCTTTAGTGGAATCATGAATGACACCTTAATGGATCTTTAAACAACCTTTAGTGGAATCAAGAATGACCTCTTAATGATAAGGAGTTATAATATAGAAGAAGGTGAATGTCAAGATGCTCTCCTTTTTGTGACCAATAGGAAAAATTCACAATACTCCCCTTTGGATGCTCACCCTTTTTGTGTTATATACTTTTAAATTGCCTCATTAAAATCCTTGTTAGGAAAAACTTAGTGAGATAAAAACCATAGCAAAAGGAAAAAGAGTGCAATACATATAATGCCCCCCCTCACTTCAATGAAGCTCTTTAAGGCATCGTATGCCTATCTTGTGTACAAGTTGTTCAAAAACTTTGATAGGCAACGACTTTGTGAAAAGATTTGCAAGATTCTCATTTAAATTGATTTGTTGAACATCTATTTCACCAACATCTTCAAGTTCATGAGTAAAGAAAAACTTTGGAGAAATATGTTTGGTTCCATCTCCTTTGATGAATCCTTACTTTATTTGTGCAATGCAAGAAGTATTGTCCTCATATAATAAGATTGGATTTCCTATAATTGCTTTAAGACCACATGTTTCTTGAACATGCTAGATCAAAGATCTTAACCATGCACATTCCTAACTTGCCTCATATAGAGTGATCAATTTTGAGTGATTTGAGAATATGGCTACAATGATCTATTTGGTTGAACACTAAGAAATTGTGGCACCACCATATGTGAACAAAGTTTGTGATCTCCCTTTATGTGGATCAGACAAATATCCAACATTTGCTTATCCAATTAACTAGTTTTGAGTGTTTTAAGTAAAATAATCCCATATCTTTTGTTCCTTGGAAATAACGAAATAAATGTTTAATGCCATTCTAATGTCATCATGTTGGTGTAGAACTATATCTTACTAACAAATTCACAAAAAATGCAATATTAGGTCATGTATTAGGTCATGTATTGTTAGCTAAATACATTAATATACCTATGGCAGTTAAATATGATACTTCAGAACCAAGAATTTCTTCATTATCTTCATGAGGTCGAAAAAGATCTTTCTTTACATCAAGGGATCGAACAACCATTGGAAAGCTTAAAAGATGGGATTTGTCCATATTAAATCTCTTTAATACCTTTTCAACATAATTTAGTTGATAAACAAAAATTCCATTTCAGAAGTGCTTGATCTGTAGACCGAGGTAGAATGCTC